TTAGAAATTTTTCTACAGACAAAAATATTTTCCATATTATTTTAACAAACAGTTAGCATTATTACAATGATAAATTGTGGAATATAGATCATATAATTTTTACTGCTTTTCACTTCAAATTGGATCAATTTTTGATTATATATCATTTTAAACTTTTTTTTCTCTTTTTTCAAGCATATAAAATAAAAAATATTGGTAATTTGTACAATTAATGCTAAAATTTATAATATCAGTAAGAAAAATTACAACTTTCGATTGGTTTATTTTATTATAGATTGATAATTTCGTTAAAATAATAGCGATCAATGATTAATAGCGATCAATGATTGCGTAATCATATGGATATTAGTTAGTATAACTAATAATAATAAATTTAACAAATGCTTCCGTTTCCGTTAGGAAAAATAAAAAACATGAATATTGAATCTTTAACGAAATAAATAATAAATTATATGCAAAATCTTAAAAATCAGATTTTTAACAAAAAATAAAATAGCAAATAGATGAAATCAATATTAATAGCAACGAAAAAAAAAAAAAGGAAAATAAGCGAAAAATGACGAAAGCATTTGTTTGTTGAGAAAAAAGCTATGAGAAAAAAGAAAGTAAAAAATGTATTCAAGAACAATGAGAGAGAGAGAGAGAAAAAAAAGCTTTTTTTTTTTTAAAAACTTAAGGAGACCGATTTTTTATTTTCTTCTATATAAGACAGAATCACAAACATTTAAAAATTTTTTTTCTCTCTCTTTTTTTTTTGTAATTGTTGTAACAGTCTGTCTGAAAAAAATATAAAAATGTGTTTAGGAAACTGTGAAATTACATCATACGTCATCATGTAATATCATATAGCAAATGTTCTCAAATTAATTTTTTGTTATTTTTTTCTTTCCTTTTATCTCTTGATCTCCTGAATTTTTTATTTTTTTATCCTAATGTTTAAAAATTTTTTCATTATCTCGAAATAAAAAAAAAAAAATGAATAATTTTTACTTTCATCAGATTGAAAATTCTGTGAAATTAAAAATTATCCAAAAAGAAAAAAAAATTGGTTCCTTTTTTAAATCAAACAAACTAGAGATGATTTAATTAAATGAATTTAGCATTTGAATTTTCTTTAATTTTAAATATAAAAATTTGCATTTATTCATGTTGATGATTCATAGACCAGTAAAATACAGTAAATTTATGAAATAATGTAATATGACCAGTCATTATGATTTAGTGATAGAATTCTTTCCTCTTCCAATTTTCTTTTGTAATCAAATCATCAAATGTGTTCTTGCGCACGTAATTCATGCAATCAAATTTATATATTATAATTTTTGAAAAATCTTCCAAATTTTTTGAATATTGAAATTTTATAGTAAGAAAATCCAAATGATGATAGTGTTACGGTTGGATGTAACTGTGACATGCGTTTTTCATGTTGTTAATTTAAAAAATAAAACATTAACGAACATCTTTTTTTCTTTTAAATTAGATGTCTTTCTGTTTACATTCGAAAATTTGTCAACATGCTGTTGAGAAATCATAAATTGCATGATCAGTTTATCAAATAATAACGCAAGTATTTTCCATAAATCAGTGGATGTCAGAGCTGTGAAAATGTTTAAGTCAACGAGATAACATTCATTAAATTATATTTGCATCGATAGTTCAGTAAATTACGTCATTTACGCATAGCTTAAATTAAGCACTGTAGAATTTAAAATTTCAAACGACAATCTGCTACATCATAGTGCGTTTGCCAACAAAATTACTATTGTATGTGTGGTTTTTTCTTTTTAATATTTGGAAATCATGCACTGTATTATTTCAATTACTTTTAAAGTGAACACTTTAGAAATTGAAACAAAAAAAAAAACTTTTTTTTGACTCAATTATTTAGGAAATGTTCCAAAGTTTAAAACGTTGAGTACCAATTTACCACTTATAAAATTAATTTTAAGTAATCACAAATAATTCTAGCATCATTTCAGCATCTTTCTCAATATTTCGATTAATTATTATCTCGCATACGTCAAACAGAAGTACGAACTTGAAAATTTCCATCGTATGAATCATATGATATAAACAGATGATGAAAAATCCTCATCTTTTACATATGATATTTTTCCGTAGTAGCGGATGTTAAACAATTATCACTATCAATTTGAACTGTACGTGTTAATAATGTATTCGTCTCTTTAGAATGTATAAAATATTTTGCATTAAAATAAGCGCGTTTAATTCTGACGTCATTCTTACAATTAAATGAACACGACACAAGACATGATATTGGAATCCCCGGCATTTGAGCATTTGATGGAATTCACTGATAATTATGAACAGAGAAAGAAAAGCAAATAAAGAAAATGTAGAGACGGAATATATTTGCAATCTACCAGCAAAAAAATGCTATGTAATCCTTATCAGTATGATATCAATATTTCATATACATGAATATTTTCTGAAAGATAGCAGCGAAATCACAGAAGAGGAGTGGAAGGATAAAGGGCAGATTAACAAATAGGAATTTTGGAGTGAAATTGAGTATTGTTGCGTTACGGAAAGAAACCGGTAACGTTGAAGCAAAAAGATGAGAAAATATTGAGAAACCATTACTTACACATAACGGATCCCAAATGAAGTCACATTAAAATTAGCTTAAAATTGAGGGCGAACGGTTCAAATGAAATCAATAAAGAAAAAAATTATAATTTTTGTTATAATCAATAAAGGAAAAAATTATGACAATAAATTATTGTTATAATTTTTTCCCTTTTAGCAAATTTTTAAATCTATTCCTCTGAACTTATTTAATTCTCAGCTCGAAGGAGGTACATAAACTAAAAGATTCAGGATGTTGTTACTGACTAGGGATTGATACATAAAAAGAAAATACTGTATTATTCACATTTTAAGCCATAATAGTAAAATGTATTATCAAGAAAAAAAAGAATCATAGATCCAATTACCATTTATAATGTGCACAATAATTTTGTTTTTTTTTTTTTGTTTTTTGAAAAAAAAATCAAACCAACAGAACCATTAAAATCGGGGAAAAGAACATTATTCATACAATTCGAGTAAATAAGGAATAATATACGGTAATGCTATCACTCGTCTCCGAGAATTTGAGATCCTCGTAGGTGGAGAGGAAGGTAAAATTATTGAAGTTATTGAATTTTGCAACACTGAGATGAAATATACTAAGCACTTTTAGACTATTCACTTATATGTTTGATAATTATCTAATTTTGATTCCGAATTTTGAAATTAAAAACCTTACTACTAGGAATTTTGTTTTTATTGAGTACCGGAGATGAAGATTTAGATTTCAGGTTTTCTAAAAAAAATTTACCACTCCCCGAGAATTCAACTTTCAAACTTGAAGATCAGAAAATTCTCTTCAATTTGCCTCATAAAAATGTGAAGTTGTGCATATTCAACAGAAAAAAGAAAAAAAAACCTCGGAGAAACCATTTTGCCTGCATATAAGGGAATTTCCATTAAAATTATCCCGATAATTGTGATAAACAAAAATATATGTGGGGTACATCAAAACAAAAAAAAAAAATCCTGATATAATGAGAGAAAACAGAAAGAAATTAAGCGCTAAAAATTGCCTAATAAGCAGGTACAGTTACAGAAACTTCTGTGATGGTCATCCAACCTATAGAAGTGTGTAAGAAAAATGATATATTTGCCGAAAAAAAAGATTAAAACCGATGTCAGAATCACAGAAGTCTATTTTACAATTTAAGTTGACAAAAATCTAGTCAACAAAAAATGCCTACACCAAGAAAAAATTAATGGCACTTTAATCGATTTTTAGAAACGCGAATCATGAAACGATGGATCCGATGGCTCTGGTGTTGTTCCCATTTGTGTAATAACTTGCACTGCTGCACGTGGATTTTCATAATCACCATTTTCATCCAGTACAATATTTTCAGCTCCTGCTCCACCGGATGTTCCAGATGTCCCCGTCATTATTGTAGCCGCTCTGCCACTTCTAGCAGATGCCCCTTCTAAAGTATCGTCTTCGTCCGGTGCAGCATTCTGGCGACAAATTGGACATGTACGATTGCCCTTCAGCCATTTATCAATGCATTTCAGATGAAAATGATGTGCGCACGGTAGCATGCGGACTAGGTCGCGTTTCTCAAAATCACACTGACAAATTACGCATACTTTTTCCATTAGGAGTGCCGGGTCAGTGATACGAAATGATTTTAGCTGGTCAATTTCGTTTCTAAAAATGTTAACTATAATTCACTACGCCGTAGCACTTACTCATTAACAGTTAAATATTAGGAAAATCTTTTAACACAAGTTTTCAATCAAATTTTGAAGCATGACTGTTTTTTGTTTCGAATATTTTAGTTCATGAAAATAAAAGTTTACTTTGTCATTCCTTTAGGTGGTAGACGAGTCGGATTCATCTGTGGTCCCATACGATCAAAGATATGGAGAACTGCTGCTTCCCATGCACGGAACGGGATCTCACCGTTTGCCAATCTTTCCAATTGCTGATGATAATTGGCTGCTGGTACAGTTTCGACATTAGTTTGAAGTGCTGCTTGCTGTGGCATCCATTCCGCAGCCATTGTTGGAACAGCAACGGGTCCCTCAACCTGAGTTCAACATATTCCGACATAGATGGACACCTAATCTAATTAACCGCTTCTTTTAACGATCTTATCCTTACATGATTTAAGTATACTAATTACACATAAGCAAGAAAATATAGATGCATTCCTCCGTTCAAAAAATAAAACGAAGAAAGAGACGGTATAAAGGCATACTAAAGGAACGGGATTTCGAGTGTTATCTCCATAATATTCGACCGCAATAGGGTGACGATTTCCGCCAACATTTCCCAGCATCTGTGTCGCAGCAGTCGGATCAACGCCAACCTGAGCAGCTGCTTGTGCAATTCGAACACGAGAAACTACCGACTCCATTTGCGCATTAATCGTTCTCGGGAGATACGAAAACCCGGGATGCAAGCGATAATGCGCTGCACTCTGATCCCAACTATTGCTACCGTTCGCTGCCGGTGGAACTGCAGATACTGACCTGTAAAATGTTTCATCTAACATACAATAATATGAAGTATTTCATGTATTCGAATAAGAACCAAAATATCGCATTACAAAAGCCAAGATAAGAAGTCATCCTTACAAATATAATTAGCCTAAATGAAAATCATTCTCCGCTTACTCTTTATAGGAACAGCCAATGAATTAACTATTACATCAATCATCACAAAAATTTTTTTTTCAGAAAATTTCAGCTTACACAGGAAGTTCATCCATTGAACGCTGAACGGAATATTCCTCCGGGATTTCACTTATCATTGGTGGAAGGAAAGAATGCTCCACAAATGGAATATCCT